ATGAGACGAGATGAGATGAGACAAGATGAGACGAGATGAGATGAGACGAGATGAGATGAGACAAGACGAGATGAGACGAGACAAGATGAGACAAGATGAGACGAGACGAGATGAGATGAGACAAGATGAGACAAGATGAGACGAGATGAGATGAGACAAGATGAGACGAGACAAGACGAGACGAGATGAGACAAGATGAGACGAGATGAGACAAGATGAGATGAGACAAGATGAGACAAGATGAGATGAGACAAGACGAGATGAGATGAGACAAGATGAGACAAGATGAGATGAGACAAGATGAGACGAGATGAGATGAGACAAGATGAGACAAGATGAGATGAGACGAGATGAGATGAGACAAGATGAGATGAGACAAGATGAGATGAGATGAGATGAGACAACCCTTTACTGATCCTCAGCAGGGGGAATTCACATTGCAGCAGCAAGATTATATGGGCAAGAAAAATACAGTAAAAATCACAAATGAGGCACAAAGAGACGTTATTATCAATGCATCTACAGTTAATAATGTATAGATATATATTATAATAATAAGTCTAAATGATGGTTTTGACTCCCATTATGGGCTAACTGGACTGAAAATAAGAAACGTGGGTTGAGTTGAGTTTGAATTCTTAACACTCAGATGATCTTTATAAACAAACCAACCTAGTTTTTACCAGAAACGATAGAAAATATATGAACAAGCTGAGGAAGCGTTTCACACGAGCCTCTCCTCCGTTCAGCTGTTCAGAAACGTCCTTCAGTGGTTCAGGAAACAATCGGTGAAGTATCTACGCTGGTTTTTATGGTCCGAGGCCGACGGGTGAAAAGAAGAATGAACGGACCGCTCTGTGTTTTCTATCATCGTAGAGCAGAACGCAGCACGTGGAACAGTTGTTGGCATCGACCTGCTGCACATACCACCTCTCGACGGCGCCCACTTCCTGTCCAGTCACGACGTCACGGACCCCGCCACGCACGCCAAACTGCAGGAGCTGCTCCCCTGTGGCCAGGCGCACGTCATTTTGAGCGACATGGCGCCCAACGCCTGCGGCTTCAGGGACATGGACCACGAGAGGCTCATCACCATGTGTTTGTGTCTGATCGACTTGGCTGAGAAGATTCTGCAGCCTCGGGGCTCTCTGCTCTGTAAGTACTGGGACGGGAGTCTCGCCCACCGTCTCCAGCAGAGACTCTCGAGCGCGTTCGGCAGCGTCCGCACCATAAAACCAGACGCCAGCCGAAAGGATTCGTCCGAGAGGTTTTTCCTCGCTCAGATGTTCAGAAAGACGGCGCAGTGATATTTGCTGTTTTGTCCTGATTGAAGCCGTTTGATCAGCGAGTGGTCTTCTGTAGTCGCCGTTCTCAAAAGATGGCCGCGTTGAGCCACGAGCGAGGCTGCAGCCACGAGCGAGGCTGCAGCCACGGCGCGCTCATGTTTGTGGTCCAGCTGAACACGGCACCACTTCATCAGGAAGATGGAAACGCTCCTCACGAGCCCAATTATGATTTATTTCAATTCTCAAGTTATCGTTCGTTCTACACGTTCTCTTGTGGCGTATTTGAAGTTCTCCTCGTGTGTTTGTGCTCACAATGTGCACTTCCTGGACTCGTACTCCTTTTGAGAATGGAAAAACTCATTTGTGGGCGTCATGTGCAGTAAAACGAATAATAAAAGTAAACGAAATAAACGAATAATAAAAACGACTGTTGGAAGCGGCCATGACACTAAAGTGTGGCACTCACACTTTTGTCCTGACACTAGAAACAGACGATTTCTGATAAATATTCTCAACACTGAACTGATTTATTTTAATTTCTGGGGTCTTTTCTGAAAACATCTGAACAAATGAAGTTTATTTGTAAAGAGTTTTCAAAACCACAAGTTAAACCAAATAAATGAAGCAATAAAACACTTATTTCAATAAAACATCTCTTTGTTATTATTTTCTGACATTGTTTCATGTATAACCAGGTCATGTAGAGGAATAAAATAATTTAGCTTGATGGAACTCGAACACCGTTTCTACCATCATACCACGTCATGTATTGATATTTTTACGTTCCTTCATGCCAGCTGGACTCTCATCCACATAAACGACCAAAAGTCAAGTTCAACCATCTGAAGTGCTGCAGCGCGACCACGTCTGTCCCAACAGGAACCTTGGGTTGTAGAAAACAAACCAGCTGCACCCCCTCGAGCAATAATTTGAAGTTGCAGGTTCAAAGTCATCATTTGACCACGTCTTTAAAATGATCAACTTTAAAGAAACATTTTAAATGTTTTCTTGATTCATTTATTTATTTTAGTCAGGACAGTTTTGTTGGCACTCTGAAGTTGTTCATTAATTTTTTAGCCTCCTGACAGATGAAATGCTGGCGGGTCGGAACAGACCAGTGTTCGTCACGCTCCAAATAAGAAGCGTTTGACTCTGCAGACCAGTGAGGTGCATTAAACACCTGCTCCTATCAGAAGACGCATCAAGGTCAGTGTCATTCACAGCACATGTGGTGGAACAAAACTGTGCACACTGGGTCCCAGTTACTCCAACAAAAGTATAAACTGTAAAAGAAAAACTAATAAGATCCAAGATGTGAACTAAGAATACTCTAAACACTAATGGTGCAAAACAATACACCGAACAACAGCAGCACGAACATGAGTCTGTGAGTAGATGATGACGAATGAACAGCAGCATGGAATACATCAGCAGCATGGAATACATCAGCAGCATGAGATCAGCAGCATGGAATAAATCAGCAGCATGAGATCAGCAGCATGGAATAAATCAGCAGTATGAGATCAGCAGCATGGAATAAATCAGCAGCATGAGATCAGCAGCATGGAATAAATCAGCAGCATGAGATCAGCAACATGAAACATCAGCAGCAACATGATGTGATTTTTCGCAGTGATTATTCTGGTTATAGATCCATGAGTCTAACAGCCTCAGGGTAGAAGCTGTTCCTCAGTCTAGTGGTTCTACACTTAATGCTCCTCAACCTCCTTCCTGAGGGGAGCGGGGCAAAAAGTGTGTGTGCTGGGTGAGTGTGGTCCTTCATGATGCAGGTGGCCCTCTTCCTGCATCTGGAGGTGTAGATGTCTGTGATGGTGGCTACAAACATTCAGTTTGTACTTTATTTTCTTTAATGCACAAGCATTGAAGCTCACTTATTTCCTGTAAAAAAATCCTCTGTTTCTTTGAATAAACTTTTGCCTCAAAGATTTTAATTTTTACATTTATATACAGGAGCTCTTACATCAAACTATAGGCTTTTTTCTCAAACTGGGGGAGCCCAGGGCTCTGCCAGGGGGCACACACTCAAAATATAGACGTCAGAACTAACATTGCAACACCTCGTTGTACCCCAACTTATTTTAGGGGTGCACATGACAAATAAATCTGTTTTTATTTGACCACTTTCTTTGTGTGAACGTAAAAGGAAAAGTTTGAGAACCGCTGGTTTAGATTTTTACAAATTTACTGTAGGTTGGAAGTTGATGTAGCAGCTACGAGTGTCCTTCAATATTTCTTCCAAAGTGTTTCATTATTTAGTTCGACGCTAATCTCTAGATTATCTCTGCCATTATAAAAATCCCTGTCATGCTAGAGTATGGGATTTGTTTGAATCTGATTGATCCAAACCATAATTTCTGCCTGCCAGCAGCTGAGACTCCTGGTGTTCCCGGCTGCGTGAAGAACCGCTGGGTGTAGAAGAAGAGACGTTTGGTGTGAAGCGGGGCGCAGAGAGCCGGACGCACCTGATCCAAGTCCTGGCCCGTGGGCCGTTTGCCGTGAGCCATTCGTGTCTCTGTCACTTGTTTAAAAAAAAAAAAAATCTTAAAAACAAACTAGAACAAAAAGGAACTTGAGCATTAAGTTTGATTTTACAACTTGAGAAAATTAGAATTTTTGACGTTATTTTCTTTCTGTTTGAAGGAAAATAGGAAATGCAGCCAAAAATAATTATTTGGAGGAAATGTATAAACACTTTTCAGTTTTTTAACATGTACCGTACTTTGTGCCGTACACATCGCTTCCCCGTATGAGTCGCATCTATCATGCATCATCGCACCCGGAAACATGGGCCGGTGTTGTGCCAAAAATCCATAGGCTGCCAAATGGCGGCCACGGGAGCGTGCACAGGAGAACTTTAACAAGAATTTAACAAGACTAACAAACAATTATTTGTTTGCTCAAAATTATAGCAAAGGTGTGTCTCCGTTGAACTTTTCCTAAATAAATGCTCTTTAATGGTCAGCTGCAGTTCTCCTGGGCGGTGAAATGAAGCTGGTTTGACGTTTGCTCCAGGAGTTCTGGAGAGGGATGAAGGTGCTCTGTATGGCAAGACAAGTGTCTCATTAATAGACACTTTTACCTATTAATGAGACACTTGGCTTGACATATACCACAGGCGCCCTCTAGTGGCTGAAAATGGTAGTGTTCAATATTTTTCATGTCAATGAATGAAATCGTCAGATCTCAGACAAAAATTGGTTATAAATATGGAAAAAAACATAAATAAGTTGCTTCACTAGATAAGTCACAGGGCATGCTAATTTATGCAAAAAGGTGCAACTTATACAGCGAAAAGTACGGTATTTGGTTTATTTAAGACATTTTCTACTAAAAGTGTCTCCTAGTTCAGTGATTCTCTAACTTTTTATACCAACGTTTGAAAAGTCCAAGCTTTACGAGTACCAGCTATTACAAAATACACAAACAGTAGGAAAAGCTATCAAACTTTCAGCTTCAGCAAACACCTGATAAAACCCCAGATTCACATTAATTAGCTTGTAGTAAACAGCTTATAAAGTTTATTTTGAGTACCACTGAAGGAATACTCGGATGGACCACAGTGTAAGAACCGCACTCCTAGATTCATTTTAATTCCTTAAAAACAGATTTCCTCTCATCACGGACAAATCAACACCGCCAGTGAAGTCAGGTTGTTCCTAAATTGATTCTTAATTCTGTTCACTGTGCAAAATGAAAAGCCTAATCAAGCTCAAGTTCACATTTATTCAGTGAAGGAAGACTTGAATAAATGATTAAGGTTGCTGTTTGGCCTCTCTGTCCCAGGAGTGATGAGTAATGCAGTACGGAGCGAAGCGTTCATGCCTCTTGGTGAAATTAACTGCGCAGGAGGGGCCTGACCTCTGAAGATGATTGTTTGGAATGAAAGCGAGCAGTCATGCCTGTTGATGAAGCTGATGGTGAAAGATGTGAACAGATGACCAATTTTATTTCTCATTACTTGTTTGATTATTCAGCCCGGTGCTATTTAGGTTTAAATTATTCCAGATTTGCTGTGGGATCTGTGCAAATTTCATCAAAGCTGCAGCGACTCGCTCGCAGGACGAGCAGCTATTTGTTCTCAGGTTAATTGAGCCCTTTCTGTCCAGATGGAGGTACAGATGTAAATATTAGCACATGAAGACAGACCGTTGGAGAGCCACACATTTGGATTTAGACGTTATTCTCAAATCCTTTAATCACGTTTATTTGTGAAAATCTGTTTGAAAAACTTTTGATTTCTTTCCAGTCGAGCTGATCAAACTCAGGCACATTTTCTGTAATTAATTGTTGCAGAAAATATGAAATTATGCTTCTCTTCTCAAAACGGTTGCAACAAGAGCCTCACTAGTCCTCACCCGCTGCAGAGGGCGACAGGCGATGGTGTTTGTGACTGAAAAATTAGAAAACACAACAAGGGTTAGAAATTATTCAGTTTTATATCCATTGAGTAGCTGAGACTGACCCCCCAGTGCCAACTGGTTGTACGGGATCTGCTTGACATTAAGGATTGGACTCAATTGTGTCTGTTAGCAAAATAACACGTGAATTGGAGCAGGGGTCTGCAACCTTTACGATCAGAAGAGCCATTTCTGCCCCTTTCTTCATTAAACGTGTCCGGAGCCACAAAACCTGCTACAACTGGGATTCTCAACTGGTGGCCCACAGACCACTTTACGTTTGTTGGGGGGCCAGTAGGGCTGATTTTATTAAACTAACAATATCTAATGATTTTTAACGTTTATTCATATTTTTACATTTCAAGTTTCAGTTTTTGTCCAATTTCTAAAAACTAAAACAATAAACTATGCAGAACTATGTGCTTTTTTAATTGTAAAAAAAAAAGAATTAAGTGTCTTACTTTGAAGAAATAAAGTGTAACGTGAAAGTGAGTATGTTTTGCTCCTTGTTTTCACATATTTGCAAAAAGAAATTACACAAACTGCTAAAACTAACTCTTTTATTTAATATAACAACCAATAAAATTCAGTTTTATGTCAGTTTTGGTCAAAGCGTTAAAGAGCTGCAGCGGAGGGACCAAAGAGTGGCTCCAGAGCCGTAAGTTGCAGACCCTTGAACCAGTGTGGAAGTCGGTCCCAGCAGTTCTTCCTCTGATTTTATCCTCAAATGGTGTCCCCATTGAGTTT